TACATACATTTTAACAAAACCATTATACCCTGATTTCCCATTTTCAATGGATTCAGGGTATAACAAGTAAGAACGTAGACGGGGCGGAATACTTATTCACATCCCATCACTGGTCGTTATGATATGATCCTAATATCTATAAATAATATATAGCTATATATAAAGTTATATACATAGTTATATATAATATAAATTATATATTCACTACGATCGATACGAGTCCTAGTATATGCATATATTTCAATTGATATACATACAATATACATATGCACACTGTTACTTGTGTATATTCCCTAATAATACATAAGAATCGTCGCTCAAGGGACCGTACGTTTGCTCATATAAATATGTCCGGGCAACGGAATTTTCTTCGCAATAACCATACGGACGCTTTAAGAGGATTCGTTATAACCGGCTTCTACTGTATATCTTTCAGAATGATCGTCTTATGATAGGACAATATGTGACCACATTTGGTGACGTTATTAGCCACGTCAATATATCAGCTGTTAAATCAGAGGACGGAGGAGAATATGAGTGTAAGGCGACTTCTAGGGCTGGTGCTGTTGCGCATTCTGCAAGATTAAATATATATGGTACGTATGTAAGTATGCTCTAGTGGAGACTACTCGATTTCGAGATCTCCTCAAACCTTTGAGTAACAAATATTTCAATAATTACTCGCTTATAATCTGCTTACGCAAACACGTATTTAATAACTTGTTTTGTAAATGGACTATCTCTATGAAACTTTCACATCGTGAATAGTGAAATGAGTGCAGCTGCCGAAGCAGCCGCTTTTGACAAATGTAGTGGTGAGGGGGTGCATATAGGAGTGGGAGTTAATTATAAACCAAAGTTATATAATATACATATGAATCTACATTTAACGACATTAGTTATAAAGTTGTAGGAGATATACTTCTAACTGATACTGATGGTAACCGATAACAAGATTTCAGAAGGAGTTATAGATTTTTATATACTCAGAGATCGACACGGTCAAACAAACATAAATGGACTCAGCTCATCCCCCTGCGGAAGAATATATATACACATAAAGGCCACGCTTTCTTCTGCCTGTGACATGCATTTTGAAAAAAACATTATACCCTGATTTCCCTGTGTATAAAAATATCAACGATGTGCATTAGTCTCTAAAAAGCTCCTATTGTGAATGTACTCCTGATCTATTACAGGTATGCCGTATGTAAGACATATGCCAAAAATATCAGCTGTCGCTGGAAAAGTTTTTACTTTAAAATGCCCTGTTGCTGGATATCCAATAGAAAATGTGTTTATAGAAAAAGGTATTTTTTGTTAAGAAATGAACTGAGCACTTTTTAGAAATTATTATTATTTTCTTTAGATGGTATTAGATTGCCAATCAACATGTGACAGCGGGTCCAAAACGGAACTCTTGTGATAGATAATGTACAACGAGCTTCCGATCAGGGTACATACACATGTATAGCACGCAATAAGCACAACTATACTGCGCAGCGATCTGTAGATGTTAAAGTATTGGGTATGTATTTCTAAATTTAATATATTTTTCTAGTATATATTTATGATAGTAATAAATCATAAATTACCAAGTAAGATATGTCACAGTCAGGTGATACTGACTGCATACTCATTCGCGGTTCAAAATCAGTTGGACCAAATAAAATATATATGCTAATATATTAAAAAATTTAAAAGTGTTTTCGACATCACAAGGCGTGGATATATATTTCTATCAAATTTGTGAAATATTTTTAAGAGCTCGAAAAAGACGCGTACAGAAATAATTTAAATATTTTAGATGCGATTGTACCTACGAACATATAACTCCAATTTTAAATTTATAGAATTTTTAATAGGGTCTCTGTTATACGAGATATATTTCCCTCATTTCTAAATTATATATTCGAAATTTCTAAATGATTTGTATTTATACGGACATATTGACGGAGAAAAAACGGAGATTTTATTTCCACTTCGCGAATGAGTATAATAATTCAAAATTTCCATTTTGAATTTAAAATCCAATTGCTTTTCAGAATAATTGAAACAGGATAAAATTCATTAATATGGTTACTGAAAATAATGTATTAAAAAGATAATTATAATTAAGAATCTGATATATTAAGAATCTTTTTCAAATGTTTTTATACAGATGCATGCGATTATATAAAATTAAATTATGAATCTTATCAATTTCAGGAAAGCTTATATAACAAAACTAATAGCAATGCACGTGCATAAAAAGTTTTGCATTTGAATGTACGTAGCACGATACCTTTATCTTAGTTTTCAATATGAATGCGATCATTTAAGTTTTCGCTCCAAATAATAAATTCCTTGTGATAATAAATAGTTCAAACTTACATATTAAATAATATTATGAAGATATTTTGAAGACTTTTTGAAGACACTAAGTACCTTATAAGATTTATTATCGAGTGATTCATTATATCGAACAATACTTGAATTTCTTCGTAAAATAGTAGGAGCGCTACTATTTAGTGGAACATATTTAAGATCGATGACTGGATTTGATCCAAAGTATACACATAAATATGATAAAATTAATGATACCGTGGAATAACTGAATTTATAAGATATAAGGATATGCATGATATTTATTCTAAAGTAGAACGTTAGGGATAATTGAATTGGTCACTATACATTATGCTATAAAAGCTCAATTTTGTTCTCCATATTTTCGCTTCACTCGGTTTTCTAATTCATAATTAATTTCTATTTTCTTAATGAAATAAATTATCATGACTGATAACGTAATTTTATAATATATTTTGTTTAAAAAATAATAAAATTAAATGGGAAAAAAAAAGAATTGTTAGTTTGTACCAGTCCTGAATACTATTTAAGCGTATACGCAGTATACGTATAATATAAGTAAGGTTTTGCTAATTTCTATATTAAAAATATAATATTATATATCATTGGGAACATAATATAAGTCATATCTTAAGATAGTTTTGTATCTCTATCCAATTTTTTATATTCTTTAATGTCTGCACCGCTCGAACTTTTACATTGCACTTAAAAATTGCACTCACATAAGGTATTCCTTTCACTTGCACTTGCAATTACACTTGAACCTGCACTTGCTTTGGTATGCGCGGTATTCTTTAAGGGTTTAATTCGCCACAATTGTATGTTGTAATAGCTCCAAAAAGGCCTTCAACTGTCAAAGCAATATCCATAGGCAGCTGAAGCGAGCTAAAGTCGTGGTTAGCGTCAATTTGGTGTTTTGATCTGATTCTTTGCAGGTGTACTTATTGGTAGTCTTTTTGAAGATTTTATGTAAAAAATATTTTAAAGTATTTCTGTCCCATATTTTAATGACTGCAATTCTTAAGCATTGATGATCAATACCGTGCACTAATTAATAATACTTTTTTTAACAAAACGAAAAAAATGCATTACAAATAGATGGCTCACCATAGGCATAAGGGAACTGTTTATCATATATCTGAGTGCTTGGTCGTATTGGTACTATATGATCGACTCAGTTTACTTTTTTATTATTTATTTACTCACGAATTTCATATTCAAGAAGACTACTAACAAACACATAGAAGCAAAAAATATTTTGCCACTGGTGTGAGTCTGGGACCTAATTTGTATTAATAATTTTATTTTTGCTACATTTATATTATATAATTTTTTAAAGCCCGTTCATATCTTTGACCCAGTTGGCTTTTAATTAAAAAATTCGTAATTTTTAAAATGCGTCTTCTCTTTATTAGACAACTTTCACAAATTTAATGATATTAGGTTTCTTCTTATTCATTTTACACCGTGGATCCAAATTAACGGTTCAACTCTCCAAATATGAATATTGTTTTTGTGATTCATGATATATGACTCCGAAATTTCGATTAAAAAAAAAAAAAAACAGTAAATAAATAAAGAGGGTTCCTAATAAAAAGATGAATGTCAAAAAGTTATGAATAAATAAGTTTCACTACTTAGTTATTGATTATAATACAAACTGTAGTTTTGAACTTTCAAGGAAGTACAAATTTACTTTGAATATACACAGATCGTATACATTAATGAAAAATGACGGAACTTTTGAATAATCGTTAGCAAAATACTTTTGTTTGTGCAAAGTGCTGCAAAGTGATACCATATACCATATTAAACACCATTCGTAATTTAGTTTTCGAAACAGCGTCTGATCAATTTACTAACCAAGCATATATACTGAAATTAAAAATCCAGTTCCACCCAAGATTACACCATTCTCATTCGCACGCGATCTGAACGTCGGTGACCGTACAAGCATTCAGTGCGTTATTGGCACCGGGGACCTGCCGCTAACATTTACCTGGCTAAAGGATGGAATACCTCTGCCATCGGCAGCATCCGTCGACAGTGTCAGCGGTGGGCTTAAGGGTACCGGTGGCGCTTCTGTGTCGGGCTCCGGCTCCGGATTAATGTCGCAGTTTTCATCTTCGATGTCACCGTCAGCCTTCACAAGTGAAATCGCATCGAATGACAATGGTCGTAGTAGTGGTGAAAGTAGCGGCCAGGTGACAATTCGCCAAAATGATGATTTTACCAGCGCTCTCAGCATCACAAGTGTGACGAGGGACCAAAGTGGCACTTATACGTGCCGTGTGCAAAATGATGCCGCTACTGTAACGCACTCTGCACAGCTTAAAGTTAATGGTACTTGTAATAGCGATATGTGTTTTTAGTTTGTGCATAAAAATTAAATACATTTACCGTATTAATGTATTTGTGCATGTATTTTTCTTATTATTGCAATAAGATTACTTATATTATTTGTATGAGATAACAATTCTTTAAATTTACAATTACATATGATAAAACTCAACGCATGATGTAGATAACTAGTATTAAAAAAAACCTAAGCAAATACTCTCGTATAATCCATAAAACAACTAAGGGAAACCCATGATTAAAATGTATAAAATTGCACGTATTTTTAATTTTAAGTTTTTTATTTGTATAGTCCTAATTTAATTTTATTGAAATTTAATTTGATTATTTACTGTACAGAGGAAATTGGTCTAGTTCACAACAACGTCCAAACCGCTCACTCTTATTCAAAAACTAAAGAAGAGGTTTTAAAATATATTTCTTTTGATATTTTATGTATAGTGCCACCGCGTATATCTCCTTTTGCGTTTGAAGATGAAATTACTGAAGGTATGCGGACACAGATAATGTGCTCCAGTAGCCAAGGAGATCAACCTTTTAATATAACTTGGTACAGAAACAATGTGACAATTCAGAGTAATTCAGGCGTTCGAATGGGCAAACAGCTAACCATGGCGACTAAGCAAGGCGAATTTCTACCTCCGGATCCGTCGTTAACAATCAATCATTATACCCCATTTTCCAGCATATTGTCCATTCACAACGTCTCTTCGTGGCACAATGGTAACTACACTTGCAGTGTGGCAAATCACGCTGGCATTGTTGAATATACCGCCGTTCTTTCGGTTTCGGGTAAATCAAGTGTAACTATTGTTTTCTAGAAACACTAAAAAGCCATCTAATTTTAAATATACATAAAATGCACAAAAAAAAGAACAAATCACCGTAAATATCGTAGACAATGCACCCGGAGGATAAATCACCTAGTTTTAGGGTTTCATCTGGTAATACAAATTTTACTTTTGGAGATATTATCAAATACCTATTTACAAGCCTATATGAATCAGATAACTAAGAATCTTCCGTTGATGTGATAAAAATACATAATTTAAATAAACATTCAGTTTGATTTTTCGAATAATCATATTAATATTCATATTTACTAATGGATGGACCACATAATAGAAAAGCTCAGCAGAATGTATTGCTCGTCCCCTTGTTAATTGATTAACAATTCTCAAGACGTTATTTGTCTAGAGTAATCCAGAATTTCGATTATCTCAACTTTTACTTAACCTGAAAGCGTTTATGTTAAAATACATAAATGATAAAATGGATATGTCCACCATATAAAATACTCTTCTATTATAATTATAGATCGAAAGTATTAAAGTTTTTTCAAGTATTTAGATATGGTAGTTAATCAAACTTGCAAATGAAGATAAAAGAATATTATAATAGCGGATTGCTGTAAAAGAATGATTGTTTTATAACTTATGAATTGAAGAAAATTATTATATAAAGCAATAGTTTTTATTCGGCATAAATAAAAACTTCCATTGAATACAGTTTTATATTTACGCAGTTTGTGTTAAGCGAAATTAATGTAGCTAAAAAATTTCAAGACGAGAAACTGAGTTTTTAATTTTAGGTAGCTAATCAAAAGATATAAACTTGAAAACCTTTACATACATATTCATATACATTTATTATTAAGGATAAGTGGGCGATTCATAATTCAGTAAAATCAATTTTATAAAATGAATTGATTGAAACCCAAATGTACATACTGATTCAGTGATAATATGATGCTCAGCCCTACTCAAATAAAAAAAATGTTTTTTTTTTTCATAAATTAAGTTGAATTTATAACAGACAGACTATTTATATATAAAGATATTTCAATGGAAGTTTTTGGTCGAAAAGGTTGTCACATAAAAAACGAGACCATCCATTAAGCTGTGTCTTTTTATAGGCCTACATTAAGATAATGCTAATAATAATAAATTAGGAGATCAATATTATATGAGCATATATATAAAGTGGCTTCATTTTGGAATACACAAAAGTATAGGAGATCATTGCACTGAGCACCATGCACTCGGCTTCCAAGAACTTACAGTGATGCACAATTTGCATGAATTAATAACTATATTTTCAATGCATGTACAAATAGCCATAAAATATGTGCTTGGGGTTGATAGATTGACGTTTGAAATTGGAGATAAAAATAACTTGGTCGCATACGTGTCGATTTGATATAAAATCGGTAATATTGTCAATAATTTTTATTGGTTTGCTGTTTGTAATAAACAACTATGCCGGGCTTGCACATTTTATCTTTCAATGTTACTTTGATGGACTACTACTTAATAATCCTTTTCAGCTGAATACTTCATCCGTAATAGTAACATTATGTGATATATCCTTAAAGCATTTGTAATATTTTGGAACTTTAAATAATAAATTTATTTTTTCCTTTCCAACTGATAACAGATTAGTACAAAAGTTGAATTTTCTATAAATTTATTTGTTAGACGTTTTAATTTTCTTAAGTAAGCATATAACAGCATGATGTGTATATGGATTTTGTTGTCATGCATGATAATCCACTAATAACAAACGAATTCTAAGTAATGTATACATTAAAAATTAGTTCCTCCACGTTGGACTTTGAAACCTACTGATCAAGATGCAATCCTGGGAAATTCAGTGATAGTATCGTGTAAGGCTGATGGATTCCCCATACCAACCATTCAGTGGAAGCAGTCCATAGGTATTAAAAGAAATCCCGCAAATTAAAGAGAAAAATCTTAATATTATATATGTATGAAAATGAAGGCGACTCAGGGGATTATCGTGATCTTAGCTATGCTATAAACAATGGAAACTCACAATCAAATATTATGGCGCATTCGAATGGATCTCTCATGATATCCAAGGTTGCTCGTGAGCATGAGGGCAGCTATTTGTGTCAAGCAACCAATGGAATAGGTGCGGGCCTAAGTACCTTGATTAAGTTGACTGTTCATGGTGAGCATGAGTTCTTCATTCGATTAATAGATAATAGTAATTTAAATATTTACTTTTTCTTATTTTTATTTTGAAACAGTTGGCCCTACAGTTACCGTAGCGAAAAATCAGTTATCGATTCGACGTGGAGAACGCATTACATTGCGCTGCGAGGCAACTGGAGATCAGCCCTTACAAATATCATGGAGATCGAAAGCAAATCGTATTGATCCATCCTATGATATTCGTTATCATATAAAGAACTCGCCCTTAGCTCGTGGTGTATCGTCAGAGTTGACTATTTTACAAACGGTCTTAACTGATAGAGGGGAATATACTTGCATAGCCAGCAACGCCTATGGGCGTGATCGAAGTGTTATACATGTTCAAGTTCAGGAACCTCCAAATTTCCCAGTTAACTTGCATGTCAGAGATCTTGGAAGCCGATCAGTAACATTGGCGTGGTCTCCAAATGACCAAGATTCAATAATATTGGGAGGAGGCGGTGGTAATAACCGGGATGCACAACCAATATCAAATTATATTTTGCAATACAAAAAAGCTGGAGGTAAGTATAGTATTATTAACACATGCAATATATTAGATCATTGACATAAAGGAGGTTTTTCGATTTTCTCACACAATTTTAATAATATAGTATTCTGAAAAATATGTTTACTTAAAATAATCAATATATTTTTGTTTAATTTTAAAAATGTAGAGATTTAATTTCTTCGCAAAATATTTTGAACAGGAGAATAACGTTGTGTCATGCTATAATTAAAGTTCTATGATAGTAGAGAAGTTAGAAATAATTCATTTAAGGTCTGCATCTAGTGTTTATTCTAATTAAAAATATAGTCTTATTTTGATACTTTTTTCAAAGATATTTTAATGTGTCACAAAGTTTTTAAGTATCATGAAGTTCTGTGGAAATTATTCTGGCTATTTTAATGCTAACGTGAAGGTGTACATATAAATAAAAAACTTATAGGAAAATTTCCTTGAATATTAACATTTATCCCATGAAAGAAAATCATATAGTGAACGAAAACACTTGACTATGGTACTATTTAGTTTCGTATTGATCTTTATTCTTCTGAGCCTGGGCTTATATACCTAGACTCATGTATATTTTGAACCCTAACTTAAATATATTGCGTCTATTGCTGAGTGTGTAAGGCTCAGCATTGGTTTATTTCGTATTCTTATCTTACTGCTGAGTTTGTAAGATTCCGCGTGGGTCCATTAGCTACGCCCTCTAGCAGGACACTTCAGCATTTGCTGCACTCTCAGCTTTCTGCAAGTGTACAAAGGGAGGATCATCGGACCGCCGCAAGAAAAAAAAATATAGCAGATTTTGAAAAATGAGTATATCTTCAAGTCCGAGTCCAATTTTCATTATTTATATATTTCATCATTAATCTTAATAGAATCTGAAAATTAGCTCACATGCAAAATCTAAACGCTCAGCTTTAAAACTCTAGGACATACAGTTTTATCCGATTTAGCACGTCCCCAATGGGCGTATATCCGCCATAGCTCGTGGTCTTCGGTGGTCGATGCGGATCTATTCTCCAAATTTCAGTTTTTCAACTAATATGATTGGAAAATGCATTTTCCATTAAATCGGAGATATACACGAGCATGTGTTGCAAATTTCAGGTCTGTAGCTTCAAAAGCTCCGAAAAAAATTGCATTCATACGGACAGACGGACGGAAAAGACGGACATTGTAAACAAGTAAGATGGCTATATTCGAGACAGCTCGACTAGGAGATACCCTGAATCTGATATTCTAATCATTCTATATTTCTTTTATGCACATATACATACATACATACACATGCATCCGCACGCACGTATAAAAACGCGCTTTGCTAACTGCGCAGTAAGCAGCGACTGCTCATGGGCTGCGCTGCTGTGTGAGCATTATTATGAGAATTTATTTGTTGAATAATTTAATTTCTAGACATACAATCTTAATGAAACTTTCAGAACTTAATCATTCAATGTAATGTTCAAATGTATGTACTTTCCAAAGCACAGTCTCTAGTACCTTTAGGCCTTTTACAAAAGTGAGGGTGAGTAATTTACAACAAAAATCGAAATTGTGGGGTCTGCTACGCCTCCTTCTGCCTGTTACATAATATTAACAAAACCATTATACCGTGAGTTCCCCTTTCCAATCGGTTCAGGGTATATATAACAATATACGAGGAGAAATTAAAAAAAAAAAATACATATATTAAAACAAGTAAGAAAGCTCTAGTCGAGACTGCTCCACTACGAGATCCCCTGAACCCTTCGAGCAATAATATTGATATTTCAATAATAATTCGCACACACACACACACACACACGCATACAAATAAACAAACACACGCACACACACACACACACACACACGCATATACAGGCGATTGCGCTTGGGTTGCGCTGCAGTGTTGGCAATATTATGAGAACTTATTTGTTGAATAATTTAATTTCTAGACGTACGATCGTAATGAAACTTTCAGAACGT